AGTGGAAATAAGTGTCTCATCATGTACTGTGATTTCCTAGGAATATAACTTGGGGCTGTAGACAGTGAGTTCTTAGATTGTCTTCATTATCTTTATTTTTAAATAGTAAATTAACTGTTATAAAGAAATTTCACTAAATTCTGTGGCCTCCACCCTCTGCCCTAACACCTCTGGATTTTTCCTAGCAGTGTGTGTGGGAGGAGGGGGTGGGGAAGAGGGGTTTCAGCTTCCACCATCTCCTGACCACACTACTGGACCAACTTCCTTTGAAATCTCCACTGCTGAGGTAGGCCTTGGGACCTCCCCTCCCTTCCAGGATGAGGCTCCATTATTTCTCCTTTGTCCTTTGTTCAGCCCTGACTCTATTTTAGCTCCAGCAAGGGAAGGTAAGCCAAAACCAGTCCCTTCCAACTTAGACACCATCTTTGGCCATCTCACTGTAATCTCATCTGCACTGCAAATACGTCTCCCATTACGCACCTGATGCCTGACAGTTCCAGAAATACCAAATAAGAAAGAACGGGAAACTGAGCTCCCCACCTACTGGGAGGACACAAGCAGGCCACCTCAGTACTACATCTCGGGGTCCTGCCCCCAAGGAAAACAAAAGCCCATAATCCAGACATCCTAGGAGACTGGCTCTCTGAGTTTGCCTGCACTTCTCTCAAGTGTGTACTTTCGTTTTAATAAACCTTGCATTTTCCTGCTTGATGTTTGTCTTGCCCTTAAATTCTTTCCCTCAGCATTAGACAAGAACCTGGTCACCGGAGCTCCGGGTCGAGTCCTCTCTTGGACTTCTGTCCCCGGTCGAGCTCTCCAGTGTTAGATCCACTGGCATATTACCACAAACAGCTCTCTTACAACACAAACATGAATTCTGCATGTGTGCTATTGACTCAAAGGGTAATTTACTATAGAGAAAGGAAAAAGTTTCAAGGTTAGTAGAAATCAAATGAACTAGATTGGTAAATTTAGAAAAGAACATACACATTAACAAGACCTCCTAAAAGACAAAACAGGGAGAGCCGGCCGGTGGAAGTGTAGACAGATGGTTTGTGTACATTCCAGAACTGAGGGGAGTCAAGAATACAGTGGGAGTTCGGGCAAAGAGGGTTAAGATTTTAAAAAGCTGATATGCCTCCACGGTTGCCCTGGTGACAGTTTCACTCCCCCATATGACAGCGATATAATAGACAAATATGCACAAGCAAAGCAGGCAGTAATTAAGGGTGCGGGACAGCATGACCTACAGTCAGTGTCACGTGGAAAGGGGCTGAGGGAGGAGTTTTGGAGGGGCTGTGATGGGGGATGGGTGCAGAGGGGAAAAATCTGAAAGCTTCCATGAACTTATGCTCTGGGTACAGCACACCCTACTGCTCCAACTCTATCTGCCAGCATGGTTGCCTAGAAGGGACTTTGGGCTGGAGAATGTGCTTGTTCATTCTCCTGGTCGCCTGGGAGTATAGGCTCTTCCTGGCCTTTGCCACACAGCCCAGGAAGGCTGAGGCTGTCCAGAAGGCACAGCGGGTGGAGAGCGAGTCAGCAGTGATCCAAATTGTTGCCTGCTCAGATTCTGCCAGAGGCTCTCACCCCTGCAGACTGAAGCCCAACTCTTCGTCAGAACCCAGAAGTCATAAACGATATGGTTCCTGCCTCCTCTGGCTCAGCTACAGCGCAGACCACCCACCTTGCAGACATGGCGGTTCCAATGGCGTGACCACATCCCACCTCTGCACTCCATGCCCACTCCTCTCCTGCTCCCTCACCCTTTACAGCTCCACCTGGTCACAGCCTTCACCAGGAACTTTCCTAAACCAGCTGTTTCCAAGTGTGCTTTGGAGACCTGTAGGGGTTCCTGGGACCCCTTCAGAGTGTCCATGAGGTCAGAACTATTTTCATAATGACATTAATGTTTGCTTTTTATATTCTCATTCTCTCATAAGTTTATAAAGTATGAACTCTGGGTTTTAGATTGCAACTAACCTTTAAGAAACTACCATTTGTCAAGTTTTGATGTTGTATCAAATAAGAATATCCACAATTACATGAAAAATACTAAAATGCTCCTCCTTTTTCTGACTACAATCTGTATGAGGCCATATTTTCTTTTTTCATGTAGTCCAACCAAAACACTTCATGACAGATGAATGGATGAGAAATGAGAATCCAGCTGTCTTTGATTAAGCCAGACATTAAACAGATTTGCAAAAGTATAAAACAGTGCCATTCCTCTAATATTTTAAATTTAGAAAATATTGTTTTTCTATGTAAATATTTTATTTGTTATAGGTTATGAGTTTATTCTTGTTATTTTAATTAATTAATGAATTAATATTTTTTAAAGTTCTATTTCTCATCCAGTAAACCTTGATAAATCTAACTCTAACCCACATAAACAAAAGCTTTTTGGGATCCTCAATAATTTTTTAATGCAATAGAGTCCTGAGACCAGAAAGTTTGAGAGCCGCTGCCTTATACTGACCCTCAGCAGGCAGAGTAGGCTGTAATATAGCTATGCCTCTACTACTGTGTACAGATACCACCAAAATCATGATTTTTTTATGTGTCTGTTTCCTCTACTACATATTTGCCTCTTGATGGTGGTTGTTCTTAAACCTCTTTGTTTAACCCAGAGCAGCAACTCCAGATGAATGAAGTAAGAGATAAGCCCCCGTGGACACACATCACAGGCTGCTGCCTGAGCAGCCTGCAATCACTCATAGGAGGAGTGGATAAAAACATGCACGATTTTTTTAATTGGCTCAAGTTTTTACTGGGACTCTGACCTGAGACATGGCGGTTTAGATATAAATATTAAAAGTTAGACATAAAATGGAAACTTTTTTAAATCAGAAAATTCAAACAAAAATAAACTAAGAAACAATTATGCTTCTACTCTGTTAAATTTTAAGAGAAGTAACTAGTGAAGTACATCATGCTATTAGACGGACAAAATGGTTTGCCTCAAAATGGTTTGCCTCAAAAAAGCGCAACATGGCCTGGGCAATGTTCTGAACATAGAAAACAAAAGGCTGAGAAAAACAAACACCCATAAAACACAAGACCTCATATTCTAAGAATAACGAGAAAGTTGTCCAAACTCAGGGCGATGACTACAATGAGCACGGCTTCTCCATCTTTGTTCCTGTTAAAGTAAGACCAAAAGCAGACTGTTCTTGAGAGTCCAGGCCAAGGTCGTGGTGTCTGCCTTCTGATTTCGTGATTCTCACTCACTCACCCATGTGCACAAGTCAAGCAGCCCTCCAGCACATCTGGGAGTGGCTACTTGCCACATTCTGGGATGCGAGAGAGGGGGCTGCCATGCTCCATCCTGCTCTTCGCCCCTGAAATGTTCTCTGGCATAATGAGAAGCAGGATGTAACACTGGATGTGGAGTGCATGCCTTAGGCAAAACTGGCTTCCACCTCTTACCTCAGAAGACAAGGGCTTCAGAGCCTCATCTTAGGGCCAAGGAGGAGTTGAATGCTGCCAACTAGGAAAGGCCCAGGTTGTTTGTGTGAGCGCGTGTGTGTGTGCACGTGTGTGCAAGTGTATATGAAAGAGAGAAAGAGAGGGGGAAGGAGAGACAGACAGAGACAGAGACAGAGAGACAGACAGACACAGACAGAGAGAGTCAGAAAGAGAGATTGATTTTGAGCCAAGAGAAGAAATATGCTTTTCTGGCTAAGTCTGTGTTGGCTTGTTCAGAAAGCAGCCCCATCAAAAACCCAACTATGCAATCATTGCTGGTGATCTAGGAATCAGGCACTTCCAGTTCTCTCTCTCTATATATATTTATACACGTTTATCATCTTGAAATTTGTTTTTAAAAGCCCTTTAATCAGCATACTAAACATTCTCCAGTCTTTTTCACATTTGCAGAAATCTTATGTTTACATCACTATGGAAACAGGGATTCTCAGGGGACTAAAGACATGGAAGGCCCAGTATCACGAGGTCATCATTTAGATTAACATCAGTGAAAATTCTGACTCTTAAAACAGGGCTCTCTGGGTCCCTTTGGTCTCTGATTGTAATTTTGGATGCTGAGACCACCAGGCCACTGGCCATTTCTCTCAGTGGCCTTCATAGGGGGTCAGGTTCTAGTGGCTGGTCAATAACATATAAATGTAAAATGGTTTCAGAGAATGACTTCATGGAATGATAGTCATGGTAAAGCTATCATTCATTGCATACCTACAATTTACATGTATTACCTCATTGTCTCCTCACAAGAATATTCCAAGGTCATTCCAACCTTGTAGATGAGGAAATTGAACTTCAGAGAGATCATGCTACTTCAGTGTACACATTTGGTAAGTACTGGAGCCAGGACTTGAACCCAGGTGTATGCCAAAACCCATTCTCTTCCATTGACCCTACATCCCAGACTTACCAGAGCCCATATGTGCAACTAGGACAATTTATCTACATTCTGTGTTTTTCATGACCTTTCCTTTCTCTTGGAGAAAGAAAAAAAATTCCCCTGAAAAAAAACATGTTCACTGTGTCAGAATAACAATCCCCTGACGTCTTCTATTCCTAATATCTTAATTCAGCTCATGACGTTCCCACCTGTCTTCTGTGCCCACTCCTACTGCCCACAAGCTCTCCTGCTCATTGCCCATGCTGCCACGCAGGGGAGCATTATTAACACAGATTAGGTGGACAAATCCCATAAAAAATTTTCATGACACCCTTGTCCAGAGAAGTCCAACAGGACCTTTTCAGAAGAAAAATCTTGCCCTTGCACACTGGAAAACACTCATGAGCCTCTATTAAAAAGAAGGCTTTGAAATAAGAGAGATTTCATTTTATCCTCCATATCCTCGACTTGGGGTGCACTCGTTACCAGTGAGATTCCCCTCCGCCTTGGCACACCCAACAGGGCACCCAGGGACAGGGGAGTTTCTCCTACTGATGCCCATCCTCTGGCCTGGAGGTCCGCCCATAACCACCCCTTCTGGCCTGCTTCTGTAGGTGGCACCCCCATCACTCACCCAGGAGGGCCGTCTGAGGGTGGGTCCGAGCGTGTCTCCCTCTGGAGATGGACCGGGAGGGCGGCCGCTCCCTGGCCTCCGTGGGGAGGAGCAGGATCTGTCCGAGAATCAGCAGAAAGCAGCCCACCTGCATCTTTTCCATCTTCAAGAAGGGGAAGCAGAGCAAAGCTATGACAAACAGAACAGGAGGAGGGGGCAGAGTGAGATGTCTGACTGCTGCCCTGCCTTCTCACGTTTCACACATACCCCTTGTACTTAAAATGCCATTTGTGTGTGTGGTCCTTAAGAAATCCGGTAACTCCTATTGGTAGGTTCTTGGATACTCTGAGTAGGGCATGCATAGCTGGAATTTTTTATTGCTTTGGCTGCTATAAGACTGAATGGAAAACTTTAGGGGGAAAAAGTCTATCCTGAAATTTCTTTTCAATTAAGTTTATTATCAATTATTCATAGTCACATTCTATATCTTGGATTTGAAAAAGGAAAAACTACATTTGAAGATTCCAAGTAACAATAGTCTTTCAGTCTAATAATAATGAATGGCACAAATTAATATGTATAAATTTCCCAAGGAATTCATGCAAAGCTGACATAAGGTAGTATCACATAGCCAGCCTCCCAACCTCCCACATACATCTATTAAGAAGGAGCATAGTGCAGTGGCTAAGGGCTTAGACTCTGGCACCAGACTTCTCGGCTTTGAAACCTGGCTCTGCCACTTGCTACCTGTGTGTGACCTTGGGCAAGCTACTTAACCTCCCAAGCCTTATGGGAACATGGATAATATTAGTTAATTGAGTGAGTTAATACATGTAACCAAAGCATTCAGAATAGTGCCTGGTACACATGGGGAGGCGGGGACAAGCAAGCAAGCAAAGGAGCTAGAGGACCAGAGAAGAATAAGATCAAACCAGATGTTGAGTAAAAAGCTCTGAGATACATAAAGAATTCTAACCCTGAGTTGAGTTTCAGGTCTACAGGGGTAAGGGGAGTTTCAAACAGAGTAGCATTGTCTTTTCTAAAATAGAGCTGCCTTTACCTATTCTCTGTATTGGTTCTGAAGAGTAGCTGGTATGAAGGTTTGGAGGAAGGATTCTAAGCACAAAGTGCCATGGTCAGATCCACGTTTTCCTAGGATGGCCTATCTCAGTGCTTCGCATGGGATGAGATAGACACTTGGCCACACGATGGATGATGTCAAGACTACTCTATCTGGCAAAACCTCACAGAGAAGGCAATATCCTGGGTCAAAGTTTAAGTTTATTCTTCCATTATCTATGAACATAATGGGTATCACAGTGATTTATCATTTATACACATTAGGTGTAAAGGAGGGAATATTTAAAGAGGAACAACATTAAAGCAACATTGTTGCATATAAAATCTTTACTAAGTTCTTATCCTGTTCTTGGCAATTTCACCCAACTGATTTCATTTAATCCTCACACATATCTTGCAGAAATCAGAATTATTACTTCTGCTTTTTAGAGATGAGAAAATTGAGGCTCAGGGAAGTTCACTAACTTAACCAAGTTCACACAGCTAAGGTAAGCAAAGTAGGGATTCCAACCCAGGGTAAGCAGGCCAACTAGCCAATTCGTTTATTAACAGAAAACTCAATTCACTGCAAGTCAAATCCCCAGAAGTCAATTCATGAAAAGCCACAGTGGTGTCACTGTCAGAGGCGGGAAGAGGACAAGGACAGGGCAGGAACCATTTCCCAAAACTTAAATAAAATACTCAATAACTGAGTGAATTATTTGTTCAGCAAATCGCTTTCAGGAATTGACCCAATGATGAACCCAGGCCTGTCAACCTTCAAAGTCCACAGTTTTTCACACTTGCTGTATTGAGGTAGCTCACTTTTCACTATGCATTAAAGTTATATCAAAAAAAGCAAATGTTTATTCAGGGCTTACTATGTGCCAGGCACTGGGCCAAGTGCTTTAAATGTATTAAGTCATTTAATTCTTACAGTAACTTGGAGAAGTTAAGTAACTTACCCAGGGTTATGTAGCCAGTAAAAGGGAAGCTCCAGGGCACACTGGCTCATTATAGATAACTACTGCCCCCGCCTTTTTAAACAAATTTGAACTGGTCCCTGTTCATAGCTTTAACTGTGAGATTCCTTCTGAGAAAAGGAAGAAAACTTAAAAAATTTTGCCTCTTTCTCTGCTCTTAAACCTACTTTAAAGCTTCCTTGATATTTATCACATTTTATATGATATTATAAGTGTGTTACATCATGTATACGTTGTTTATTATTTAATGCTGTTCTCCTTCCTCCAAACTGAGCAAATACAGATGCTCCCCCTCACCCCACACACACATCCCATCAGCAATTTCCATTTCTGCAGTTTCAGTTACCTACAGTCAATGATGGTCCAAAAATATTAAGTAGAAAATTCCAGAAACAAACAATTTATAAATTTTAAATTGCGGGCTGTTCTAAGTAATGTGATGATATGTTAGGCCTTCCTGCTCTGTCTTGCCCTGGATGTGAATCATCCTTTTGTCCAATGTCTACACAACTTGCCCGTTAGTCACTTAGTAGCCATCTTGGTTATCATATCGACTGTCACGGTATCACAATACTGGTGTTCTAGTTACTTTTATTTTATTTAATAATGGCCCAAAGAACAAGAGTAGTGATGCTGACAATTTGGATATGCCAAAGAGAGGTCAGAAAGTGCTCCCTTAACATGTAGAAAAAAAATATATAGTAATATAGGGTTCAGTACTATCCAAGTTTCAGTCATCCAATGGGGGTATTAGAACGTATCCACCACAGCTAAGGAGGGACTACCATACGAAGTCCATGTTTATTTATTTAAAAACAAATACAACATGCTCTCAAAGCCTACTTCCATCCTGATACATTTGCACTTAAATTCAAACATTTGGAACATAATGTGGTGGATAATTATCATTTTTCAGACAAACCAAATACCATATCATGTGGTTTGGGTTTACTGTGGATTTCAAGAAGTGGTTGCATTTTCAAGTCACCATTGCTAACTGAAAGGCACTGAGGATAGGTGAAGGCTAGGAAGTTAAAAATAAACAGAACTATGTACACCTGAAACTAATATGATATTATATGTTAACTACATCTGAAAAATAAAATTTTAAAAATAATCTAAAAAAGTTTTAAAAAATAAAATAAACAGAACTAAAACTTCTAGCTGTCTAACCCTGAGCAGGTTATTTAGCCTCTCTCTGCCTCAGTTTCCTCATCTATAAACTGGAGATAATAAACGGACCTGGTTGTTGTCTGGATTAAATCAGTCCATATATATAAAGCACACAGATCACTGCCTGGCACATAGTAAGTGCTCAATAAGCATTAGCTACTTGCTGTTTTTGTTATTATTATATTATTGTCATCATTATGCAATCAAGCAAATTAATATAAAGTATACATTGTTAATATTGGCATACTAAGCCATTTAATGTACCTTAACTTGTTTTTAGAGATGAGGAAATTGATAGTTACTATGACACGCAAATCCATAATCTAAAAATATATTTAGTATCCGAAAATATTTAAAACTTCTTTTTCGTACTGCAATGGCACAGCAAGTCACAGGCTGGTAGAAAATCTTTGTAAAACGTATATCTGATATATTATTTCTATCCAGACAATATAAACTCTTATGACTCAATACGAAAAAGACAAACCACCCATTTGAAAATGTGAGAAAGATTTGAATGGTCATATCACCAAAGAAGATATTCAGCTGACAAATAAATATATGAAAAGGCATTCAACATTCTTAGTCATTAAAAAAATGCAAATTAAAACCACAATGAGATTCCATGACAAATCCACTAGAATAGCTACAATTAAAAAGGCTGATATGACCAAGAATTGGCAAAGAATTGTGAATAACCTAGAACCCTAAAACATTGCTGGTAAGAATGCAAAATGGTGCAGCCACTTTGGAAAACAATTTGGCAGTTTCTCATAAAGTTAAACGCACACTTGCCAAATTACACAGCACAGGGTGACCAACTGCCCTGGTCTGCCCAGAACTGCTTATGTTTTAACACCGAAAATCCTACATCCTGAGAAATTCCTCAGTTTCAGACAGACTGGGATGTTTCGTTCCCCCATCAGCAACCCCAATCCTAGGTATTTACCCAAAAGGTATAAAAACACGTCCACACGAAGAGCTATACTCAATGCCCCTAGAAGCTTTATTTGGAAAAGCTAAAAACTGCAAACAGTGCAAATGTCATATATTCGTGAATGGATAAATAAATTGTGGTACATCCATGCAATGGAACACTACTCGGGAATTAAAGGAATGATATACTGGATAAATTTCAAAATACTTATGCAAAGTGAAGGCAGCCAGAAGCAAAAAAATTACATACTGAATGATTCTAATTATTTCAATGACATTCAATAAAGGGCAACATTATATGACAGAAAGCAGATCAGTGGTTCTGGGGGTTGGAGGTGGGAAAAAGAGGATTGGCTACAAATGGACATGAGGGAAATTTAGGGGCTTATAGAAATGTTTACATCATGATTACATGGCTCTATACATTTGTCTGAATACATCAAATTATACATTTAAAAGTGATAAATTCTATTGTATGTAAGTTATACTGTAAAAAAGCTGTTTAAAAGAAATTAAAAGAATGGGCACAAGGATAGTGTATACATGCTCATATAAAGCCAGTATGGCAATATTAATATCAGACAAGATAGATTTTTATAAAAAATGCAATGGCAGTGAAACAAGAAAAAATAAGTCAGTGCATGTAGCCCATATTAATAATCGCTTCTCAGTTCAGTATTTACAGCTGATAGCATTCGAAGAACAGGAGCCAATTCTAACCGGAAAATGGAATGATGTGTGAGAAACAGTTTCTTTCATCTATGGGTATACGAGAAGAATTGTGCTGAGAAATAGAGGTTAATTCAATCTGAACAGATTCTCTGAAGCATTTGAGAGCATTTGGAAAGAATATTTGAAAAATTACAACAGCTTTGACTTTTGTTTTAGCAATTTTTCTCCTCTCCCTGGGACAATGAGTCTTTTCATTCAGTTTTACCAAGGGAGTGGGAAGAGAGAGAGGAGACTGTTCTGACCCTCTTAGCTATGGGCTCTTCTAAGCATCCCTGTTCCAAGTAAATTGACATGCGAGGAAACTCC